ACCATGTGAACTCAGGGAGGACAATTAGTTTGAACCTGGGGTCACTGACAACAGTCTTCCAGGCTGAAGTAGCAGCAATAAATGCCTGCGCCAAAGTCATGCTAAATTACTCTCTTAGAGATAAGAGAATCGTTATCATGACAGACAGTCAGGCAGCCCTTAAAGCACTAAAAAGGGTAGAAGTACAATCTAAATCAATATTTAATTGCCAACAATCCCTCAAGGCTCTGGCAGAACATAACAAGGTTACCCTTGAATGGGTGCCAGGACATTAGGGAGTGTTTGGAAACGAGAAAGCAGACCTCCTAGCAAGGAAGGGAGCGGAAAAAACTCTTATTGGACCAGAACCCACATGTGGTATCTCATACCAACATGTTAAATGGGTGTTAAAGGAACAAATAAAAAGAGAACACCATAGGCTCTGGATAGAACTTCCTGGACTTAGACAGTCCAAAAGATTCATAGAGGGGCCATCCACGAGCAGACAACATCAACTGCTAAACCTTAGCAGAAGCGAACTCAAGGCCGTAATAGGACTCCTTACGGGACACTGCGGCCTTAGAAGACACCTAAATCTCTTAGGGATATCTGATGACTCCCTATGCAGAATATGTGAAGAGGAGGACGAAACTCCTATTCACATACTATGCCACTGCCGGAACCTTAAATGGGAACGGGAATGGTACTTCGGGGTACAATATCCGGAACCTGAAGAAATCGCGAAAGCGCCCATCAGACATATTCTTGAATTCATCAAGAAAATCAATCTGATGGGATAGAAACTGTGAGGGGTACAATAAGCCTAGAGCTTCAGTACAAGTGGGCTTTGAACCACGCCCTAATTCAGATGATGATGATGATGGCTATTTCGGTGTTTTAACAAAATGTTCGTGGTTTAAATTCAAAATTTACAAACATTTTTAAAAATTCATTAAATTTTGACCAAGACAAGTCTGTAAAAGGTCTTTACAAAAACATACCTCATATTCCTTAGACCAAAATAAGTCGATTTAAGTAAAATTACCTTAGTACAAAGTTGCTTCGTTTGGGCTCCAGAGGGCCTTGAAGTTACAATTTTTAAATCGTTTTTCCCATATAAATTTAAAACGACATGCGATTTTGCTGAAATTTGGTATATTGGTAGAGTTTTATATGGCAAAAAAATGGTATTAAAATTTTGTCCGATAATAATACATACTTAATTTTTTAAATAATTGCACCTTTAAAAATTCTACGCCAATGGAAGAAAAGGAGTTTGAGTATGAAATTTAGATTGCGCAACTCATTTACTTTACAAAAGGTACTCTTGATAAGACTCGATTACTCTCATGGTTTTGACGAAATTTGCATTTTAGTAATTTTAGAACATAAACAATAATTATTAAAATACAAACTTTGTCAAAACCATGAGAGTAAATCGAGTGTTATCAAGGGTACTTTTTTGTAGTAAATGAGTACCCAATCCAAATTTCATACTCATACCCCTTTTTTGCCATTGGCGTAGAATTTTTAAAGGTGCAATTATTTAAAAAATCAAGTTCTACGCCTATGTATTATTATCCGACAAAATTTTATACGATGAAAAACATAAAAATGTACTTTTTTCATATCTTCTTCAACACCTCTAATCATGCCAAAGAAGGCAGCAAAGCACCTCGAGAATTTTGAGTTAAAACATATGCCACATTTTTAGGCTATTTTAAGGCTATTTTTATACCCTATTCAAAAATTTAATGCTCCTCGTTTTTTGCAAAAATCAAGGTGCTCTGCTAGCTTCGAACGAAGTCAGCAGAGCACCTCAGTTTTTTAAAGCTTTTTTTCAAAACCAACTTCACCAAATTTTGTTATTTTGCTTTGCTTCGAAGGAATCTAGCAATCAGGATTCCGTAGTAAACACAACTGTGAAACTGCTTTACAGTTGGTGTTGCAAGACTGGAAGTTATCAATTGAAAATAATTTGGTTATACTGGTGGTGTTTTTAGATTTACAGAGGGTATTTGAGACTATTAATAAGGGTAGATATTAATGAAATTAAAAGCTATTGGTTTGGGGGGTTGTGCACTGGACTGGTTGGGTCATTATATGGAAAATAGGAAACAGAAGGTTAAGGTAAATAACGAGGTAAATAATTGTGTTTCAGATACTACAGAGAATAATTTATGGGTGCCACAGGGTAGTGTTCTAGGTCCGTTCCTGTTTTTAATTTATATTAATGACATTGTTGGTGTAGTCGAAAGGTGCACAATACACTTATTTGAAAATGATACACTGATATATTTTACCCATGAAAACACTGAAACTTGTTTTAAAGAAATTAATAATTCTATAAGTAAAATATATGATTATTGAAATGGAAACTCGTTGAAAATAAATTACGAAAAGACAAAATGGATGTTAATTAGAGGTACTGGTTCAAAAAATTTAAATGTAGCACCACAGTGTGTTTCTTTTGATGGAATAAAGTTTTAGAGAGTTGAAAAATTTAAATATCTAGGGGTTATGGTTGATATAAATTTAAGGAATATGCTAATAACATCATCAAAAGCATATCATTTAAAATAAAATATTTGGGGCGCTGTTCTCCACATCTCAGCAAATGGGCTAAAATAATAATTTATAATACTCTAATATTACCTCATTTTAATTATTGTGCCACTATATTATATTTGCTCAACCAGAATGAGTTGCAACGATTGCAAAAGTTGCAGAATAGAGGTATGAGGATAATACTGAGCTGTTCAAGATTGGATCCAATCAATTCCATGTTGAATGTGCTTCAGTGGTTGCCTCTTAAAAAATATTTGCTATTCTATTCCCTGCTATTTAGATTTAAGATTAAATCAGGAATCTCCCCAGTATATTTAAAAAATATTTTAATAATCAGGATGTTCATGAATGCAATAAAAGAAATAAGAAATATTTTAGAATTTATAAGGCCATGTAAAATGTACACAAAATTCAGTGTTTTTTAAAGGTGTACAGGCTTTTAATAATTTGCCTGAAGATATTAAATGTTTTTCAAACGCAGCAATATTTAATAGAAAACTGTGTGAGTATTTGCTGACCAATTGACGTTTTTTTTTTTTCTTGTTCTTTTATTATGTTTTGTATAGTTGACATGTAAGTGTACTGTATCTTATGTATTTTATTGTATTTTGAATGTATGTTGATTCTATACTTATGGATTTTGTTATATTTTAAATGTGAAGATGTACCGACATGTAAAAAATAGTTTTTTTGACTAAATAAATGATTTATATAACATATCCAAAAGGCACCTCATAATGTCAACAAACCGTGAAAATTTCATTGAAATCAGTCAATGCCTTTTTTAGATATTAATAAAAACAATTTAACAAAGAAAAAAGAAAACAAAATTGGACCAAGTTAAATCAGACAAACTACCTTTATTTTTTGATAAATTATCGACTGGTGAAATCTTGATGATATAAACTAGACCATCCTGTATATCAGGGAGCACAAACAAACATTAAAACCAGAAGATGACAATACTAGTCTATATATTGTCATAAGCGTTGGATATCTCCAGGGGAGTCCCACAAGGAAGTGTCCTAGGTCCCCTAATTTTTATAATTTACATAAATGACCTAAGTATGTTGTCAAATAATCAAATATGAAAACGATAGCTTCGAGGATAGCTTATTATTTGTTACAGCATCAAATTTTTTTATAATAGGATGTATTTAAACTCAAGACTAATCTTAAACCCATATAAAATCAGTGGTTTTTTTTTAAATTAATTGTGGCCAGATACTCTTGATAATACTGATTTCACAGAATGCTAAATGCCTTGGAATCTATCTTAACGAATCATTAAATTTGTCTTTCCACCTAGACTACATTTCTAAGGAGTTAAATAATACATGCTAAAGATTAAGAATCCTCACCAAAACATTTTGTTTTTCTAATTTCTACTGGAGAGCCACATATGGTAATCTGCTATGAGCTATGGGGGCCTAAGCACAGATGCTATAGATATTTTTAGAAAAAAATAGGTTTTGTGGAGTCTTGCAGCACTTCATTATAAATTTCTAAATATAATTATGATTCTTGCATTATTAATATTTAAATGCTTTATATTTTGGTTTAATATACTCATTATTTTGAAGTTTAAATTTACTCAAGCTTATGTTACAAAGCATAAGATTAACTACTTTCCATAACACAAACTGTTTATAAACAAGGACCAGTATATGCATCCGTCTGCCTGTAGACATTAAATCTGGCCATTTTGAATCCTATTCCATTTCTAATTTCCTAAGTAGCAATCTAAACAAATATCGAAGGGTGAGTGAATGATGATTTTGTTTAAAATGTTTAACCACCTCCTAAATTAATGTTATATAACTCAAACTAGTAATGAAACTATAATTCGATGTTAGTTTTCTTTTTTTGACTAGTGGCTTTGTACAGAATATAAGTGTAATAAGCTATTTAGGTATTTACTTATTCATTTATTTATCTATTTGACTTGTAAGTGAGGAAACACTGGATAAAAAGCACCCTCCATCTTAAAATATTATTTCCTAATTTAAAAAAAAAATTGTATTGTATTGTATTTTATTTTACCTACTAGCTGTTTGCAAATTTTTGTATATTTTGTACCACTTAGTCTATATAATGTATGTGTTCTTTTATTCCTGCTCTGTAATTGGGATTGCCTGTAGAGCATTGTAATAAATAAATAAATAAATAAATAAATAAATCAAATATTCCACCTCAGGGGTAATTTCTCAAATTTTTAAAAATTTGCAAAGTCGAAACAGATCAAGTTATAGAATCTCTTCTAATAATTCAATTAAATTATGAATCATATCAAGATTGAGGTGCAGACGGAATTCCATCCTTGGTTGTTTAGGTTATACTTATATTAAAAAAGTGAAAGTTGAATATCATCATGGAAAAATTAAGTGTGTAGGTACTTAAATTTAAAATAAACAAGAATGTGCAACTAATAAATTGGCCTGTGAAAAACTTACCTCCAGTGTAGCCTTGTGGATACCAATACCCAGTACCAGCTCCAGCAGCTCCATAACCATAAGAGTAAGGAGCAGCACTTGCCTGGGAAACTGCTCCAGGTTGCATAGCTCCAGGGTCAGGTCCAAATCCTCCATTCTCTTTCCCCCAGAAACACTTTACAGTGTGTCCATTTATTTCGGAATTGTGAATATTTTCAATAGCATGAGTTGCACTATCTTTCGAAGAAAATTTTATAAATGCGTAACCTTTATCTTTAAATACTCGAATATCTTGAATGGGACCAAAGGGTGCAAACGTCTTGTGTACTAAATCATCAGTGAGGCCACTTGCAAAACCTCCGCAGTAAACTGTTGTATTAGTTGGAGAGGTCTGATTGTAAATTTCTTCAAAAGCAGGTTGTTTTTGCCTAAGAGCTGGTTTTTCAGTTCTTGGCGGTGGTGGCTTCCTCGTAGACCAGTTGGTGCGAATAGATCTAGACCCAAGCCACTGACCATTCATAGATTGTATGGCATTTTCAGCTTCGGCTTTCTTAACAAACGATACGAATGCGTAACCTTTGGATTTAAGAGTTTGTGGATCTCGAACTATTCTGCAATTTGAAATTTCCCCAAAGGGAGCAAAGGCCTCTCTCAACGTTTCAGTCTCAATTTCTGGAGATAAATCACCAACAAAAATATGATGGTGATTAGAAGTATCTTGTTTTGGTTGATTTCCAGGGCTCGTTGCCCAATTTACTTTCATTTCTTTATCTAAAAACAATCTTTTATTCATGGCAGCTAAAGCTGTTGATGCTGACTGGTGGTTTGTAAATTCGACAAAAGCATATGGGTCATTCCCGGGCTCCCTAATTATTTTACATCCTTTCACTGGACCTATTTGTGAGAACAGCGTACACAACAGGTCTTCTGACACTGACACGTCTAGATTACCTACATAAAGTGTTTTTGGATGACTCTCGTCCGACATGGTGACGCCGGCACTAATAATTTTCAACAATCAGTTTCAGCACTCCTCACACGTATAGTTACTGCACATATAAAATTCACACGTTTTACTTTTGAAACTAATTATGAAGTCACAATCTTGTCCAACAACCAGATAACTACTTGATAATGACAATAAATTTGCCAACTTCTATTTTTCTGGAAATCCAGCTGTCATTATCAAAAACGGTCAAATGTCAAAAGGGAAATAGACATCATCGCAGAACACAAACTTTACAGTTACTTCCTCTATACAAGTGGTAGAAAATAAAATCCCTACTTTTCTTAAAATATTTGAAAATTAAACAATAATTATCATTTTCTAATGGTTTAGATATTTTGATATTTTGCGAATGTTTTTGAAATATATTTCCAAATGACGAAATAAAAAATGTGAACAAAAACTGGACAAAGAGTGTAGTTTTATTATTGTTTATCTGAGTTGACTGTTCTGGTTCTCAAAAATGAACACTGTTTTAAAACTGCGCCGGACCGTGTGTCTAAAGACCAAAAATTCCCGATTGTTTGAAATTGTTGGAAAACCAGAACACATAAAGGTGTTGTGTTTATTGTTTATTATAATATTACAATTCCTTTTGAAAGCTAAGGTTCAAATAACATTTGCATGTATATGTTCATTATTATTATCATTATCATCACATTTCATTGGAATAAAAAAAACGGAAGAATTAATATATTAAAATATTAATAATTTTTAAATTGCCTCAATTTACAAATAAAACAAGTACAAGAGACATTCTTCTACACATAAATAAACAATTTGGAATTGTAAACAGATAAAATATGTTAATTTTCCTTATTTTCTTTAGATTATTTTTATAAAGGTAGGATTCTGGGAAATATCCTATAAGCTACAGAATCTGTAAGATATAGTATAATATATAGTAATGTAATATAATTTTTTACAGATTTTTACAAACGTTTTATACTATAAAACAAATATTTCATTTTGTTTATTTACTATTGACAAGGTGGAGTGTGGTATTTTTTTCTATTTTATTGAAAACATAGAAAACAAATTTTCCATAATGCCCACTCTCAAGCCGGTTTGCGTCCCCCCACCTTTCCAGTTCACGAGCCGCCACTGATGCTTTAATTATTTTCCTATTGTTTGTTAAAGGGATGATGGGATGATCAAGTAAAAGTAAAATGAAAAATCTGCTGTGGTCTGTTTATTATTTTATATGCTCTAATAATATACGAAAGATATTTAAGTGAAACCAGTATGTATATAAAACAAAGCAATATGCATCCAAAATATGCGAGGTTCTGCGATGACGTCACAAACCGACGGAGGGCAATAGAGCACACAAACAGATTTGAGAAAATTAGGCTAACCTGTTTAATAGTCAGGGCTGGTATATGTATATCTTAAAATACACCAGGGGTGCTATTTTCAAAGTCGAGAGAATTCATTTCTCTCGAGAGAAATGTCATACGTCAACGTAAAACAGTATTTTTAGGGTCCTAAGGGCCAGTGTAAACTCACTGATTGTTTCTCACGGTTTATTTAGAGATAATTAATATCCTCCTAAGAATTTTAATCCTCGAGGCCTTTAAAAACAGCGTTTCCACATTGACGTATGACATTTCTGATGAGAATCTTGAGAGAAATGAGTACTCACACGGTTTGAAAATAGGTCCCCAGGGGACCTATTTTCAAACCGTGTGAGTACTCATTTCTCTCAAGATTCTCATCAGAAATGTCATACGTCAATGTGGAAACGCTGTTTTTAAAGGCCTCGAGGATTAAAAATCTTAGGAGGATATTAATTATCTCTAAATAAACCGTGAGAAACAATCAGTGAGTTCACACTGGCCCTTAGGACCCTAAAAATTACTGTTTTACGTTGACGTATGACATTTCTCTCGAGAGAAATGAATTCTCTCGACTTTGAAAATAGCCCCCCTGGGGACCTATTTTCAAAGTCGAGAGAATTCATTTCTCTCGAGAGAAATGTCATACGTCAACGTAAAACAGTATTTTTAGGGTCCTAAGGGCCAGTGTAAACTCACTGATTGTTTCTCACGGTTTATTTAGAGATAATTAATATCCTCCTAAGAATTTTAATCCTCGAGGCCTTTAAAAACAGCGTTTCCACATTGACGTATGACATTTCTGATGAGAATCTTGAGAGAAATGAGTGCTCACATACTTTGAAAATAGGTCCCCAGGGGTGCTATTTTCAAAGTCGAGAGAATTCATTTCTCTCGAGAGAAATGTCATACGTCAACGTAAAACAGTATTTTTAGGGTCCTAAGGGCCAGTGTGAACTCACTGATTGTTTCTCACGGTTTATTTAGAGATAATTAATATCCTCCTAAGAATTTTAATCCTCGAGGCCTTTAAAAACAGCGTTTCCACATTGACGTATGACATTTCTGATGAGAATCTTGAGAGAAATGAGTACTCACACGGTTTGAAAATAGGTCCCCAGGGCTGGAACTCTATGTCATGTAGAATTCTACTTATCGCTTTCTACAATGGAATCGATTACTTTCTTTTGTGATAAATACGTTATCAACCGCACGGGAAATATCGCAATGTGGTTTCTTATGAAACTAGTTATCCTGTAGTAAGTATATACTCGTTGGTTTTCCGTTATATTACACAGAGTGCCACAAAAGAATCTATTGTAGAAAGCGATAAGTAGAATTCTACATGACACAGAGTTCCAGCCCAGCTTCGATATAACACTCGATATTCCATATAGCCATGTCACCCCATATTTGAAACTCAAGATAAATAAACCATAAACCAGAAAAAAATTAGCTCCATAAAATTTGAATATGTGGAAAAAAGGGCACGCAAGTTCTGGCAAGTGGCCGGTTACTATTGAAATAAAAGGCGAGAGGCCCAATAAATATTAAAGTAAGAAGAGGAAGTTATTAATTTTGACAACTGATATTTGACAATGTATTATTTATATTTTCATACTTGTTTTTAAATTCAAAAAAATTTATTTATTTTTTAGGTAGATATAATTCTAGCGCATAGTTATAAGATGGATAATCTTTTTTTTTAGTTTAATAAAAAAATAAACTACATAGGAAACTATATTTAAAAAAATTAAAAAAGTTTTAAAACAGATATGGAAAATTTCAAAGATGTACATGTATTTCATACATCCTCCCAAGGAAATATTTACACGATAGTTGAATTACCAATGACCAATGGCTCAACTAAACTGCTGGTGGCCTCATTAAAAAGAGAAATTTTTTGTTTTGAATTCCAGGAATCGTCCTCAGGCTGTTTGATTCCTTCTAGCAAAGAAGTTTCATTTACTTATATTCCCAGTAAGTACCTGTCACCTACAGTAAAACCTCTTTCATCCAGCTCAAACTAGTCTCCAATCATATTTTTATATATTTAAACTTTAAACCCTAATGGAAATAAAATTGAAGGCTTGAATTAAATAATGTGCTAATGGCTGAAAAATCGCTATTTCATTTTATACTTGTAAAATGTTCCATAATCAACAATATTGGTATATAAAGTGCTAAGTGCCATGGCTATTAAATTATTTAATAGTGGAGGCAATTTTTTAAAACACTATATCAATTTTAATTTGTATAGTCAGTATTTTCTTAAAAATTAATATTTGACATATTATACAGGATGGGCTGTTTTTTACCCTAATTTTGGAACACCCTGTCGGATAATGTCGCTAGCGATTTTTCTTAAAACATCATTTTTCTTTTAAAACCATGTCTCCTTGACATTTGGGTTTTTGGTCAATATGTGTCTTGGTTTATTTTTAAGACCGAAATAAACTTGTCTTGAAAAATTTGCTTTTGTGCTAATGTCATTAACAGTCAAATTTTGTATACCTATGGTTGACCATGGTTCTCAGTAATGAAGTTTGTCCAAAATCTGTTGCTCTTGTTGAAGATGGACGAAATTTTGAATATGTGGCTAGATACTGCATACTCATTGCTCTACTGTCAAAAGGGTAGTCGAACGTAATGTGTGTCATGCAACATCTAGAAGAAGTTGCTATTAACAAATTGAACTGACATCTACAGGCAGTTATAGCAGCCCAAGGGGGAAATACACAAAGTATTAGGTTTTAATTTTATCACATTAACTTTTTTTAATGTCAGTTCTTTTATTGTTAATATTGTTTAATAAATTGTTTATTGAAATCAACACCATATCAACTTTTTGAAAGTTGGTAAGTGAAAATATGACATTAGTTCAACAATCACCAAAGCCATCTCATGAAATTAGGAAATTTTTAGAGGCAAGTTTATTTCAGTCTTAAAAATGAACCAAACCAAGGCACGTATTGACATGACCAAAAACCCAAATGTAGAGGAGACATAGTTTTAAAAGAAAAACGATGTTTAAAGAAATATCGCTAGCCCACAGGGTGTTTCAAAATTAGGGTAAAAAACAGCCTCAATTAGTCCTGGGTAATAGGTCAAATATAAATTTTTATGAAAATACTGAATATACAAATTAAAATTGATAAAATTATATACAATGTGCTAAAAAATTTATCAAAATAAGATTAAAAAGAAAAAAATTATAACACTTTCAATTAGACCCAAATTTTTTGCTTTGCGTCTTTTTTGCATCTGAATGTAGTATGCTCTGTAGTGTCTTGTGGAGTGGGCAGACAAAATAGCTTCACCCAGGCGGCATTTACCAGGAGGTTTTCAAAAACAGTTTGGAATAGCATGTGCTTGCCGACAGTATATATGTTGCTCTGATTAAAAGTGAATTTTCATGTGAATAAAGTCTATATTAAATATCGAAATTTATATCAATATGTACCTGATATCATCAGCTACATTGTGGTGCAATTGTTTTAGAACATTTGACGCGATTTGTAGTGGTTATTTGATGAAATAATAATTTAAATTCAGTTTTAATATAAAAACTATTTCTTGTGACTCATAAAATAAGTGCAAAACTGATATAGTTCTTCCATTATCAATTGCAGATCATAAAAACTCGTTCGGAAACTTTACCGACAATTTTGTTTGATCTGCCATAGGCGTAGATACCTACCTCATTTTATAAATTTATTTTATTAATACTTTTAATATATATATCATATGCAAGAAAAAGAAAGTATTCGTTAAAAGGAAATCGAATAATTATAAATTGGACGTTATTATACGCCCTTATTTAGACAGATGCACTTAATTGTAATCTTACTTGGACTTAAAAAAAATCATTATAGCTCGTTAACTTGCTACAACTGAATATTAAATTATAAAACGTAAAAAAGCGAGTAAAGTGTACCTGCCTGTAAGGGCGTTTGGTTTAAACAGGGTACCAGACTTGAACTGAACCCTTTTTGTACCCCATTCGTTCTTTTTCTGGAAAACGAAATTTCAAAGAAAAAACCATAAAGGAAAATAAATTCTTTGCAAACAAAACAAAAGAAAAAAAAAACAATTCAATTCTAAAGTATCTTTATACTCGTAAATAATCATGGCAGTCTGAATCCTCTGAACTAGAGTCATCATTTGGTTGAATTATGATGGGTTGTAAAGAGGGTAATACTACATACTCATCTTCTTCTTTGATAACATGTTCAACACAGTTTTTCAAAGCTCTTGGCGGTCTGCTGCTAGAACTTTCTTTACGAGTTCTACAACTTCTTTACTCAGTTCTGGAGACTGATTACATTTTCGTAATTCTGATTTTAAGTTTGCCAATATTAACTTTATAGGGTTAAATATGCAATAGTAAGGAGGTAGTCTGAGAAGAGTTTGCACAGCTTGTCAATATAATACATTTTTTCTAACTTTATACCTTTAATAACAGTAAGCAATTCTTTGTTTGTTGGTCCTTTTTTACTATCACTGGCAGGAATAGGAATATTTTTTTTTAGACATAAAAGCTAAAATTTAAGCTTTTTTACTGCTACTATTTGGTATTTTAAGGATTTGCCGCGAGTGGTAGGATGCGTTGTTCATAACGATTACTGACTGTGGTGGAATGTAAGGTAAAAGCTGTTCATTAAACCGTTTTTCAAATAATTATGCAGTCATATCTTCATGATAATCAGCTGCACAGTTTTTAATTTGTTTAGCAGATAATAATAAAGCATTAGGCACGAAACCGTCTTTGCTTCCAGCGTGTACTATTATAATGCGTTTCCCTTTAGAACATGGCCCATTCAAACAACAATTTTTACTACTGCCAACCCAACCGAAATTTACTGCATCGTGACTGTCAAACCATGTTTCATCTAGATAAATTATGTGTCTATTAGAACTTCTGTAGCCTTTTATCTGACGTAAATAATCTAGTCGCCATTGAACTATCCTTGACGATTCGGTGATTGCCATCTGTTTATTCAATTTTTTGTGTTTAAAACCACATGCTGACAAAACTTGACGCAATGTTTCCAAACTGGTGTAAGTGTATCCTGGAAAATCTGCCACCTTTTGCTGTATTACTTCCAATGTCGGAACCCTGTTCTCCTTATATAAACTATAAATTGTCCTTCTTATAAAATCTTGGGTAGCTCTGTCAACTGATTTCAGTTTTTCTTTACATGTTTTTCGGTTTTATGAATAATCCACAGCAACCCCTTTCGTGACTACCGGATAAACGGAAAATGTATTTACTTTAGTTAATTCAGCAATTGTTATTATGAACGCATTATCAGACTGCTGAATATTTTCCTTTTTTAAACATTCGAATATATTTAAAATAACTTGTTGTGTTTGTATATCTAAATCCTTATCGTTAAAGTCATACCTGTCTTTAATCTCACTACACTGTGCAATTTCATTTTCTTCATTCGCCCATGGTCTAAAGAACGCCATATTTATATTTATTAAAAGAAATTTAAATTAAACCAACCACACATACAAAACACACCGCACGACAGTACTCCACTGATATCGCAGACTGTCTTCCAGGAATATTTTCGAACACCTGCTTTCCGTAAACCTTCGGCCAATACAGTGCATTTAAGTTTACGATTCGATGTTTTCATTGGTTAACAACTGATGGTTCGTTTAATATTTACCGCTTTGTATAAGGGGAGTAAACATTATTTTTCGTTTCTTAATTTAATAAATTAAATATTGATGATTCCCCACATAACTGTGTTCTGCAATTGATAATGGAAGGACTATAACTGTATTGCTGTGGAAATCGATATTTCAACTTGTGTCCAGTGGCGTATCAATTTAAAATGTCTACATTTAAATGTTGTGGCAAAGAATTTAAAAATTTTGTTTGTGTAACGTGTTCAGGAGTTTTTCACCCCAGTTGTCTAGAGAGGGACATGAAACATGCAATTAAACTTCGGAATCAACAAATTTATTGTTCCCAGACATGTCAAATTAAAGACAATGATGAAGAAGCAAATGTTAAAGAATATGAGGTAGAAATATATACACTTAAACAAACTTTGGAAGAAAAAGAAAGATACATCAATAGATTAAAAAGGGGTACTCAAAGTTATGAAGATATGGTACTAGAAGCGGAAGATAAATTCATTGAAAAGCTTTCAAATCAATTAAAAGAAATGGAAAATTTAAAATTAAACTTGATTCATACGAAAAAATAAATACTGAATATTCTGAAAAACTTATCATAAAAGATGAAGCTGTGTTTAAATTGAATAAGGACATTGATGATCTGAATAAATTAAGTAAAAATAAGGTTACCACGATGAGCATTTTAGAAAAAGAAAATGAGACAGTCCAGAGTGATGCAAAGAAAATTAGTAAGGAATATGTCAAGAAGTTGGCAAATTTAGAGAACGAAATTTCTAAACTAGAAGCTTCAAACAAAAATATGGAAAATGCGCTGCAAAAACTAAAAACTCAGAAAGAAGTGATATTTAGTCCAAAAAATGTAACAAGTGTAACTTTTACAGAGTCCTAGGCAAATTTTGATACTGACTGATGAGACCGGTAGAGGATTAGATAGGCTAATAATGCCAAAAATACATGTTCCTTTATGTTTTTTTGTTGTAAAATTAATGTTGTTTAATTATTTTTGATGCTTTTAAATAAATAAAAAAAATAATTGAAAACTGTTTTATAATTGGCTCAAATTTATTATGCGGACTCACAGCCCGCCGCCATCGCCGGATCACAAAAATTTCACGCCAATCCCGGAAGGTTAATGGAAATGTTAATACTCAAAATGTAAGGTATTGGAGTGACATAAATTCTCACATGTTTCGTGAAAAACATACACAGTTCCCATTAAAAGTAAATGTCTGGGCAGGTATTTTGGGAAACCACATAATCGGGCCTCTTTTTTTGAACTCTAATTTAACCGGTGAAGTATATCTCGACATGTTAGAAAACGC